CAGAAGGATGAATAAGAAGCAAGTCGATCGTGTCTCACGACCAGTGGTACGGCATTTGCGTCGCCTGCACTGTGGCAGAGTGAAGTGGAGCATCTCTGCTGTTGTTAGACCGCTTGCGCTACGAACCCAGTGACCTGAGTTGGATTCCCGGCGATAGCTAACAGCGATGAGCGAAATATATATTTTATCTGCTCGCCCAGGCTTCCGGTTCACCGGCTCGCACTGACCGGCTTGGTGAAGTATGGTATTAAAAAAAACACCCCACCGTGACCGACAGAGCGTGTAAATCACAGTACGTTATATACTGTGCTCAGAGTATTAGGATTGTGATAGCAACTGTGTAAATACGATTGGGTTGGTCTCCCCACATTTTGACACAACTCTTTATTCAAAGCTATATTAAATATGACGGTGTGGAATGTCGCAGGTGTCAACCGTGAGAAAGGCGAGCAATGGAATGCATACATTTGTGCCATAAGGCTCCCAGGAGCTTGCATTGTCCTTGTAAGCTGTGACGTAAAAAAATAAAGGACGTAGTTTTTTTTTATCCGCATCTTCTGCCTGCGTCTGTTGTTGCAGTTTCATATAATTAACATATGTCACAGCGCGTGTGTGCGGTTTTTTTGTGTATTTGTGTCACTCAAGCCTGTGTAATGTTGTGGATTAGAATGGCGCATTTGGTTTAAATGAAAACATCTCACCCAAGACATAAATAGATACAAAATATGTGAGTGGTTTTATTTTAAATATACACTGTGCAAATACCGGTTTCCGATGTTTTATATATACGTGATACACTATACCAGTAAAATACGTAATGATATCAATTTGTAGCATTTTCAAACACGTGTAATAAAATAGACACAGGAGTATCAAACAGCAATGCTCAAGAATAGTTATACTGGTAGGAACCTCCTGGTTACACCACCAGCCCACAGGGGATTATTGTGTACGTCCGTCCGTCCAGCATCCAAAAATCGGAGGGGTGGGGCTGGGTGGAGAGGGGAGGGTGGGGAGGGGCTGGGTGGGGAGGGGACGGTGGGGAGGGGCTGGGTGGGGAGGGTGGGGAGGGGCTGGGTGGGGAGGGTGGGGAGGGGCTGGGTGGGGCTGGGTGGAGAGTGGGAGGGGAGGGGCTGGGTGGGGAGGGTGGGGAGGGGCTGGGTGGGGCTGGGTGGGGAGGGTGGGGCTGGGTGGGGGGGTGGGAGGGGTGGGGCTGGGTGGCGAGGGGCTGGTCACCCCGTGGTGCCCTTATAAAACTCAACGTTTCACCTACTCACGCCGGCTTGTGCCCGCCCTCACAGTCGGGCATATTTGCGGAATACACCACGTGGTGCCGCCGTTGACCCTGGCCATTGACCGAGCAACCCAACGTTCCTACCAGCTCCCTCCGCAGGAATGTGTTAAAATAATGTCGCGGTTTCATTCTCAAGGACTTAGTTTCGTTGAATGGCAGCTTGTGTGTGTGTGTGCGCTGGGATAGCGTGTGCTACTCCCACCGGCTTCCCAGATGTCTGGCCAGCGTGAAAGAGTAGGCCAATAATAACTTACAGAGGGAGCTCCAGAGAGACTCCCCCCCCCCCCCCCCCCCAGTAGAGGTTCTGCCAGCAGTGACCTGAGCAGGCGATTGCAGTCAAGGTACAGCAGGAATCACGAATATCAAGAGACATGCACCTTGCGAAGGCGTGTTTTATCAATGCTGTTTCACGTTTATCCTTCTGCAATATGCCGCGGAAAACCATTCCCATCGCACATTCCGGCCTCTTTCCTAGCACGAGGCCCATCTCTCATAATGGAGATAGCGCCCAGTGCCTTTGTGTTGTTTGACTCTGGCTTTATTTTCAGCCATGGATAGAATTTTAATTCACACCGCCGAATCCCAAAAGCAAGCCCCTGACTCAAGAAAAAAAAATTCTGCAGCGGTGGGGACACTGCGTGACAAGAGATTTATGCCGATCTAAATGAGCGGTGTGGATGACCGTATTCATTTGCTGCCTGTTGGCCTTGTAAGATCAAATCAATCAGATGCCAAGCGTGTGTCGCTATGATGTTACAGCAACCTAGATAACAGTACTTTAAGTTACGACAAAAACATTGCATTTTTTAAGTGCACTCAATATCAGAAATACGTATTTTCAATGTACCTTGTTGGTACATGAAGCATTGTATTTGAGGGTATGCCCGATGTGCAATTGATGCAACCTTGTTTAATTTGTTCGGAATAACTTGTGCGACTCTTCATCAACAATTATGCAAAATTATTTAGCTTTTGTCTGAGATGTATTTAATTAAACATAATCATCCCTCTGCCAGGTGTGAAGCAGAGATGCTGGCAAACATCAAAGTCGGGAGTTAATATTTGCTTCGCATTCCAATAATTTGTTTCTTGCAGGCTGGAGCAAAGTGCCTTTTATTTTAAGCGTAGAAATTCTGCAGTAAGTTAGCCAGACCTCGAAAAAAACTTTCCAATTAAATATCTCACAATCTACTGTGTAGTAATTTATATGTGCACACACATGCACATAACACTGCATTTTCAGTGCAACTCTGCAGCCTCCTAAAATTATACTGTGCATTGTATAGTGTGAAATATAACACATGCTATATTACTCCTTAACCTGTCGATGACATTTTTTATCCAAATACATGTTGGCTGCATACCAGCATTTCACATATGCACATGCATTACCACATACAGCAATCCCCACCAATGTTCTTTTCGGTTTACCATAATAACTCCGAATAATGTCCGTAATAATAGTAATAATGGCAATGAATCGTCTTACGGGAAATAAAAAACAAACATATCCAAGAGCAGCACAATGGATTCCCCTTCTGAGACATCTAAACATACCGTTGCACCTACAAAGGAGGAATATTACATCTGTAATTAACCAACAAAATCACCGTTTGTTAAAACAAAATTGAGGCACAGCACATATTTCTTTTTTTGGATTAAAGGACACAGGCTTGCGTTCGTGGGATCAGCAGAACCTTGTGGGATAGGGTGGCTAGATTGGGGTGGTTGTCTGTGATGGAATGTCTTTATTTTGAATGGTGGACTGAACGTTGGACATGGCTAGAGGAGGCTGGACACTGTAACTCTCGTAAAAAATGTTCCAATTTGAATGAAACTCGAGTCCACAGTTGTGCCGCGACAGAGAATAGGCTCTTACCCCGATTGAAACTGCGCAAATTAATCAAAGGATTTGGTTTGCTGCCCAACAAACTTGGAAACACGAAGCAGAACCAAAACCACAAAGGTACTATTTCAAATATGCGAACGTTTTTTTTGCCCAAGGAGATACCTTTCAGCTTCCATGCCGCTAATAAAATACCTCCGAGGACAAACACACACGTTGGAAGGCGGCGGTTACGTAATGCATGCATGCTTGTTGTCGGAAAATGATTTTCTTTTATTGTTATCTCTACAACGCTGCATTCTGCACCACTGCCCTTTTAGTGTCATCGACTTTTATGTGCGTTTTGTACAGCGCTTTGAGATGCGGATGCATTGACGTGTGAATGCAAATATTTAACCTCAACCTATGTTAAAGATGTCCATGACATGTATCTGTCGAAGGGCACATGGTATACAGAGCAATGTCTATAATCTGCAATGCTATTACTGGTGACTCCTATTATCCGTGAGAGTTTTACGGTCGAAACAAACCCCTATTATCTATGACCTTAGTCTTCTTATTGTCTGCGATTCTCCACGGATTTCTTTCCCCATGGATAGTGGAGTCATTTCGTAAATTACCCCATGGGACAATAATATCTGCGATGTTCATGTCCCACATCACCAGACAGTTTTACCGTAATGGGTGAGTTCCCTTTTATCGATTGAGGATGTTACATTCATATTATTCTTCAAAAATGCAACATTGCAGCACAATAAAACATGCCAAGAGGCAGACGAAGTGACCGGTACGTTAGAAACCAACAACAACACGCGAAAGCCAAACACACTGGCTTCACCGAGTACAGTAACACAATATAATATATATTTCATATAATTAATTGTAACTTTTTTTGCAAGTGTATGCATCCTACAAAGTTGTCTGCTTGCACTAAAGCAAATCTTGTAAAGTTACGCTTAGTTTAAATGTACTGCATGTTCTGCATTGAACGTCAAACCTGTAGCATATTAATGATATGCACTGATGCTGAAATAAGACATTTATATTTTAGTAGTTCACGTTGGCATTGCAGAATCTATTAATTAATTGCTGTTATTGGCCACCAATAGCTGCTTATTCTAAATACCCCTTCGACGTATAAATACCTTCAAAAGTAAATTTCTAAGTCAGCAAAAAGGAGAAATTATGAGCATAGGATCAGTCGTCCCATCATGCCTTGCATGTCACGTGACACCGACCAAAATTCGCGTGTCAACGCAAAACAGCCTTGTTTTAACCAAATATTTCATACGAGCGCAAAAAGCATGTCTTCGCCAGGCAAAAGTTTTCAATAAATATAATAATTAACCCGATTTGATTTCTTTACAATCTTTAGCTACGATCAGACACGAACAACTACTCCAAAAATGTGTATTTTTCCACACACAAAAACTAAAATTGTTGACGACTTGATTCAACTTCTTACATTTAAAAACGTACCCATCGGAAACCGCTCAATTTAAAGATCCCGTTGTTTTATTAGAAAGAACAAAAATTAATTAACTTAATACTCTGTGAGGGGAAGCTCATATTTTACCGTTTTCGAATTATTCGTGATTTGAACGTCATAAAATTCGTATTTTTCTTTCAAAACCGCTTTAATCCGAAATATCTCAAAAAACAATAAAAGATTGAACAATGTATCTCCTTATGATTTTATTTGCTGTTTAAGGCTCTATCAAATGAAAAAAAAACGCAGTCTTATATTTCGAACGGTTTCTGAATGACATCAGGCACATTTTTTATGGGCAACCTAAAATCGAGAGATTTGGGGGCCTGAAAATGAAAAATCTCGGTGTTTCCTGTTGTTTGTGTCCTAAAAGCTACGTGCCAAATATGAGCTTTCTACCTTATTGGGAAAATACCCAAGAGGTTTTCAGACATACATACATGCAGATGAAGGTTTTTTATTTATATATAGATATAATCGCGCTTCTCTGAAATACAGGCATCGGGACTGCTAAGCCCTCTTAGTATGAGTTTACTGGATATATGCATGGGGGAAAAAGTGAACCGTGATATTTTTCCACTGTTGTACGAGCCTGGTTAAATCACTCAGTGCTATTAGATAGAATGGAACCGTGGTAATAAATTACATGCACATTTATTACACTTTATCTAATCTCACCCTCCCACCTGGTTGCTAAATTACAACCCCCCCCCGCCCCAGCGGATATATGCCGAGTGGCCTAACCAAATATTTGGGGCATTTAAAAGGCCGTTCCTTAAAGACCCATTCTCTTTTTTCCTTGAATGAAACCCGTCCCTGCCAACATGAGATTTCACACATTTCTCCTTCACGTGGAATAACACAACAGACGCTGCGAAACTTCAGACAGGCCCCATAACAACACTTTACTGCCTCTTGAGCATGAAATGAGCTATAAAATATATTTTTAGATACTTATCAATATTGCTGTTAAAACACGGACGCATATATTGGCCATTTTCACATCGATGTACTTTTTTTTTCCAGCCTTAGTTTTTAATGGCCTATGAGAGCAGCCATTAACGAACCCGTGTAGATGAAAGTATAGACGGTACCGTCTTCTTGCCGTCACCTGAAGTCATGCCGTATGGATGGACCGTCCACAGAGAGTTGCACATACCCTTGCTAATGATGCAATCAGATGCTGCGTGACTATTCCAGGTAATAATAAAACATGATGTCATCCACTTACATTTCTGATTGAAATTTACTCGTGAAAAAATAACAATAACCAAAACAAATAGAAAGCAAATAACACGTTAATCTGCAGATTTGCTATTTTTAAATGCCCATTTGGATAAACATATCCGTGCTTAGCTAGACAGCATTCCCTTTGCGCCAGAATGGTGTGCGAAGAATCGATAATGTTGTTGAGTGCTAGATTAATCAGCTTTTGTAGAGTGGAAATTAAAAAGGAGTAAAAAAAACCCCAATGGGTTCTGTTGCTCTGTAATGTGTTTCAGGTTGTATACAACATGTTTGCTCGGCTGCTTCGGGAAATTAATTCCCAGCGCGCGGAGTGAAACGTCGGACATCGTGTCGAACAACACGCGGTACCATCCTAAAACGCATCGGAGGAAGCTGCACAACACAACCGTGAACACCTAAGCCGTGGCAGCTTAAGTTGTCAGAACATCCATCATTGTCGTCACCTCCTATACTTAAAATACACTTCCATATATATGTTTATAAAAAATCACATTTCGCCAACGCATATCCAACCACCCATCCTACAGCAGCAATTACCCTCCCAATTTCACAGTTGAACTTCCATGTATTTCTTTATTTACATCATTGAATACAGTTCTTCTTGCATACACATGAATGCAGGTATCCCTCGATTTACGAACGTTCGGTTCATGAAATTTCGCACTTGACAAATTGTGGACACTTTTCGATCAACGAAATCGAATTTCCGCGTGAACGAAATTCCACAGGGCACGTGCCGTTAGATAAAAAAAAACAAGAAGCACCCGGGAGGCTGCATCATCCATCCGCCACAGCGTCACGGTGTTGCTACAGTGCACCAAGTCGTAACGCCTCGACATCACCTTCCCAGTCCATTCCAAAATGCAGATCTGTTGGTGCTTTCCCCGGAAGGTTAATTATTTTTGTTTGAAATGAATTATTATTCAATCGTTTTCATGTGTATGTTCTTTGTTGTTAATCAGTGTACTGGGGAAAGTGATATAGGTGTATATTTTAGGTTAGGAGAAGAGTTGGAATGACTGTCCGAAACACATCCCGAATTTTAAGCATGATATGAGTGTGAAAAGCCATTCCGATTTACGAAATTTCGTTCAATGCCGTGCTTATTGAAGAACGCATCCCTTGAGTAAAACGAGGGACGCCTGTAATGACAGACTGCAATATATATAAATAAACACTCTAACGTGGAAAATTTGCAAAAACTAAATCACAGTGTATATTGCACTGAAAATTATCACGCTAATAAAGGCAGCCTAACTTTCAGATTTCAAATCTGTTTTTGTACTGGAGGAATAAGCTTTAAAGCTCTTTTTTTTTTTTTTTTACACAGACGTACAGCAGGGGCAGGTCAGAAAGTTCTACAAAGTCGCCGTAGTGATGCCGCAACACAGAAAACCAGCTCGGCCAGAGAGAGAGAGAGAGAGAGGGCTCCAAGGGAACGGGGCAGGGCGGCGAGTCGCCAACGTGCAAACGAGATGAACACCACGCGCACCGGGGGCTAGCGAGCGGGCGAGCGAGTGTGCGTGCGTGCCACGTGCGTGCCACGCGCGTGCTGGCTACAGGGTGGTGGTGTGCGACGTGCACATGCCGTTGCCGAACACTGTGTGCACCGGCGCCGCCGCGCAATTATCCGCGGCAGCCACGGGGGTCACCCCCGCCGTGCTGGAGTTCCCGCTGGCGGTGCCGCCCACGTCCGCGCGCGCCCTGCCTCCTCCTCCCTGTTCCGTGCTGCTCCCGGCCAAGCGGGCGGCCATGAGTGCGGCCGTGGCGGCGTTCGCCCCGGGGTTGCTGCTGCTGTTGTTGTTGTGTTGGTGGTGGTGGTGGTGGTGCGCCCCCGCCGCCGCCGGCTGCGCGGGGAGCGGCTGCCCTCCCGGCGGGCGACTGCGCGGCGCCGTGGCGCGGTAGTCCATGGGCTCCTCGGTCGTGCCGTCCACCCAGCGCAGGCACAGGATGCGCTGGAAGAGCCTCTTGAAGTTGTCCGACAGGAAGCCGTAGAGGATGGGGTTGGCGCAGCTGTTGGCGTAGCTGAGGATGACGAAGAAGTTGGTGAGGCGCGGGTCGAGGGCGCGGCTGAACACGTTGACGAGCTGCATGACGTAGAAGGGCATCCAGCAGACGACGAACACGGCCACCACCATCATGACCATGCGCGTGATCTTGAGCTCGGAGCGCCGCCGCTGCTGCCAGCCCGCCTTGAGGGCGACGACGCGCATCTTGACGATGATGAGCAGGTAGCAGAGGCAGATGGCCACCACGGGCACCAGGAAGCCCACCGTGAACGTGTACACGACAAACGCCGACGACCACGTCTCGTTGGGCCAGATGAGGTTGCATATCACGAGGTCCTCGCGGATGAAGTCCGTGTCGGCGTAGACGATGATGGGCATGATGACGGTCAGCGAGAAGACCCACACGCCGAGGTTGATCAGCTTGGCCACGGTGGGTCGCCTGTAATCGTTGGACACGAGAAGGACAACGTCAGACTGCGGTGAAGCAAACGTGCTTCAAGTCAGGGAAATCGATCGACCACCGCACTCCGCCAGCCCGCCACCCACAGCCACTGGCAGAGCCAGTGGGGGGGGGGGGGGGGTGGCACGTGCCCCCCCAATGATCTGATCGAAATCCCTCATTTCGATCGGATCATTGGGGTTTATTAGTAATTAATCGGCATTTTGCTACCCCTACTGCCACTGTAGCATATTATTACGTTCCAGGGACTCTATGAGATGATAGGACAATAGTCCGAGCCCACAATTGGCAATAAGTAACGGCAAAGCAGTTATAAGCGACTCACAGAATTGTGTGCAGCTGCGTCTACAGAGTCCACGACTTCCCCGAAGGCATCAACACCTTCAGCGAGCACGATGGCGATCACACAACGCGGTTCGAATTCGACCCTCGATCGATGGCTGCGTCATCGCCGCACACGCGTCGGATAAACAGCAAGGGACAAGTCCTTACTAACAACTCCTTACTTATTACTAACAACTCCTTACTAACAACTCCTTGCTAACAACTCTTTACTAACAACTCCTCTATCATTTTTCATTGCTGGAGGGGTTGCCCCCCCCCCCTACCTGAAAATCCTGGCTCCGCCATTGCCCACAGCCAACCACATCACGAGCGCAGTAGGATTGTCACGTGTCTTGGGTGTACCCAAGAATCATCCTCTTTCTGAGAACTTTTTTCTCAGAACATCTGTAAGCCATCCGGAGCACTGCAAGTTCTGGTGATTTTTTTTTTGTCAGTGATGAAATAACGCGCCACTCCAGTCAATGAATTTACTCGCTAGGTAGTTCTCGCTCTCAGTGTTGTGTGATGTTTTCCTTCGCGTGACGCGTCCCAGCTTTTTTTTGTTGTTGTACCTCAGGAGGTGGCAATTCTAGATGTCAAGTCACCTCCACCAGCCACAATCCACCCTCAAATAGCATTCTCAGCCCCCCTCCAACACACCCCGTTAGCAGGCCTCCCCTCCCTATAGCTCACCGGCCCGAGCCCACTGTCACTCAGATGTCTCACACGCAAAAAAAACGAACCATTCATTTCTAATGTAATTCTTCCTAACACCGTGTTGCTCATGTTTAATAAATAAAGTGTTACAAAGTCAGACCATCCTTTGGCGTTTGTGGTCACGGTTGTTTCTATTGAACATGTCATCCATTTCATTATCACCTTTTCGCACACAGGACAATGGTTTTTTTTTCTCTCAGTAAAAATAAAATAAATATATACTCTTGTGCCTGCTAATGCATGCGATAATGGGTGAGCAATTCCCACTCGGCGGATGGGTATGTTTACTGGGTCAATGCACACAAGACATGGGGTGATAACCAAATCACAGCTCTGAAGACCACTCAGCAGGTGATAATACGTCATTAAGGCACTTACACACTACACTCGTAATAGAGGTTTGTTTTTTTCTGCCATCGGCTCGAATATTTTACGTACAACAGGGCTTCAATAATCCACGGGCTGCAGGAAGCCGCTGATCGCTGGTGGTTAACGAATCCTTCCTGGACTCCCCAGGACACGTTGATCCAGAAACACGTGAAAAAATATCACGGATATCGAGATCGCTTACGGGAGTAGCCCATTGCCCTCGCAATCCGCGGTGCACCCCGCATCGGCTGCGTCCGCGGATTAAACCTGCGAGCCACGCCTAACCTCTTTGTTAATTCGCAAAAGAAATGTGTTGTTTTGGGTTAAACGGAGGCGCCCAGTTCCTTGCCCAAAATCCGCGGCGCACCGCAGCGGATGGAAAAAAAACGCTCCGCGGGCCGCAAAACCGCGATGAGCTACAGGGGTGGGGAGCTACAGGAGTGGGGAGCTACAGGATAGGGGAGCTACAGGAGTGGGGAGCTACAGGATAGGGGAGCTACAGGAGTGGGGAGCTACAGGATAGGGGAGCTACAGGAGTGGGGAGCTACAGGATAGGGGAGCTACAGGAGTGGGGAGCTACAGGGAGATAGAGGACAGGGAAGCTACAGGGAGCTAGAGGAGTGGGGAGCTACAGGGAGTGGGGAGCTACAGGGAGATAGAGGACAGGGAAGCTACAGGGAGCTAGAGGAGTGGGGAGCTACAGGGAGTGGGGAGCTACAGGGAGCTACAGGAGTGGGGAGCTACAGGGAGTGGGGAGCTACAGGGAGCTACAGGGAGTGGGGAGCTACAGGAGTGGGGAGCTACAGGGAGCTACAGGGAGTGGGGAGCTACAGGAGTGGGGAGCTACAGGGAGCTACAGGGAGCTAGAGGAGTGGGGAGCTACAGGAGTGGGGAGCTACAGGGAGCTACAGGGAGTGGGGAGCTACAGGGAGTGGGGAGCTACAGGGAGCTACAGGGAGCTAGAGGGAGCTAGAGGGAGCTACAGGAGTGGGGAGCTACAGGAGTGGGGAGCTACAGGAGTGGGGAGCTACAGGGAGCTACAGGAGTGGGGAGCTACAGGAGTGGGGAGCTACAGGGAGTGGGGAGCTACAGGACAGGGGAGCTACAGGGAGCTACAGGAGTGGGGAGCTACAGGGAGCTACAGGATAGGGGAGCTACAGGGAGCTAGAGGAGTGGGGAGCTACAGGGAGCTACAGGAGTGGGGAGCTACAGGAGTGGGGAGCTACAGGGAGCTACAGGGAGCGACAGGAGTGGGGAGCTACAGGATAGGGGAGCTACAGGGAGTGGGGAGCTACAGGGAGCTACAGGACAGGGGATCTACAGGGAGCTACAGGAGTGGGGAGCTACAGGAGTGGGGAGCTACAGGGAGCTACAGGGAGCTACAGGATAGGGGAGCTACAGGAGTGGGGAGCTACAGGAGTGGGGAGCTACAGGGAGCTACAGGATAGGGGAGCTACAGGGAGTGGGGAGCTACAAGGAGCTACAGGACAGGGGATCTACAGGGAGCTACAGGAGTGGGGAGCTACAGGAGTGGGGAGCTACAGGGAGCTACAGGATAGGGGAGCTACAGGAGTGGGGAGCTACAGGAGTGGGGAGCTACAGGGAGCTACAGGGAGCTAGAGGAGTGGGGAGCTACAGGGAGTGGGGAGCTACAGGGAGCTACAGGGAGTGGGGAGCTACAGGGAGCTACAGAATAGGGGAGCTACAGGGAGCTACAGGAGTGGGGAGCTACAGGGAGCTACAGGACAGGGGAGCTACAGGGAGCTACAGGATAGGGGAGCTAGAGGAGTGGGGAGCTACAGGGAGCTACAGGAGTGGGGAGCTACAGGATAGGGGAGCTACAGGATAGGGGAGCTACAGGGAGCTAGAGGAGTGGGGAGCTACATGGAGCTACAGGGAGCTAGAGGAGTGGGGAGCTACAGGGAGCTACAGGGAGCTAGAGGAGTGGGGAGCTACAGGGAGCTACAGGATAGGGGAGCTGCAGGGAGTTACAGGAGTGGGGAGCTACAGGGAGCTACAGGATAGGGGAGCTACAGGATAGGGGAGCTACAGGATAGGGGAGCTACAGGGAGCTACAGGGAGCTACAGGTAGCTACAGGAGCGTGGAGCTACAGGGAACACGCGGAGGTAAGAGGTTGTTTTTTTAGCTGTGCTGATTGCAAAGCTAAATCTTCAACACTGCTCCTGCAGCTCAGCGTTAGCCGTGTCCAACTTCTCCGAATGTCAGTTTGTGATCCGCAATGCGTAATTTCTTTAGACTAGCTGTGCCAACGTAATTCCTTGAGTAAAATCATTATTATCCAAAATAAAGGTTGTTTTTGGGTTAGATCACGTAAATATAAATGTGTCGTTATACCCGCCTGCCACCCGACACAACCAATTAGTAACGTTTGTCTCATAAACAAAACATTCCAATTCATTACTAGAACAGCACACCGGTGTATTGGAGAGTAAACCAACAACATTTTTCAATTCGAGTACGACGTTTCGCCCGTCATTACAACCAGCATAATCAGGCGACAGCCAGTTTTTTGGAGACATCCTCTTGTTTCATTCTTAAACAGAGGGATAAGTGTGATGACACATTTATATTTACGCGATCTAACCCAAAAAAACCTCTATTATATTACCTACTATAATCACCCAGAAATGTCTGTCCGTCCCGCGCGTGACGTCACTCCACATGAGGCCCACCCCCCCCGCGTGACGTCACTCCACATGAAACCCACCCGCCTCATTAATATTCATGAGTGGGTGGATGTTTACACTAACGCAGAAGAGGAGGGGGGAGCTGAATTAAATAATTTAGTATGCAAAGTCGCTTCAAATATGACGTTTCTTTACAGAAAGTGACGGTAAAAATTTAATCTACGCAGCACAGTGCGACATCCGTGCGTGACGTCACTGCAAAAGAGCCCCCCCCCCCTTTCATTAATATTCATTCGCGCGTGGAAATTTACACGAACGCACAAGAAGGTCGCGCACTCCACATGCCGCACCCCTCCCCTCATTAATAATCATGAGCAGGTGACGTCACTCCACATGCCGCACCCCTCCACAATAACCATTAGCGGGTGACGTCACTCCACATGGGGCAACCCCCCCCCCCCCCCATCATTATTAATCATGAGCTGAACAATTTTTCTATTGAATGTTTCAGATTTGCTGCAATATACACCCGTCCTTGGACGGGCAAAAAAGCTAGTGGATAATATTGGTCGCGAAAGCCTGCGTGTTAAACAGAAAATAAATTAACATTTATTTAGACTCCGATATCAAGTTTTAAAAATGCAACATTTTTTTTGGTTTTTAATCATCACCCACATGGTAAACATTGTCATCTCATTATCCGTGATTTTTTTTGCTGATTAATTGAATCGCATGGCTAATTCCTCCTAAAATCTGTAGCACACCCAGACCTCTGCAGTGAAATATCCATGGTGCCTCCATGTTCACTGTGCATTATCGGAGACTAGCTATACACATTTTTTGAAGACCTTTAACTTTTGCGTTCTCCATTGCAGAAGTTGACACACCGCACACACCATGCATTAATTCCAGGTACCTAG